TCTGATGCAAAGTAACAGTGGCAAAGGCTTAAAAGCACCAATTCTTATTTCTCTTTACGCTCACCTTTCGAAACACCTCCTCTGACCATTCACAGTGCCTACATGGAGAAGGCTGAATGTATTCTTTACTCCCATTTTTCTGACAGGCAAACTAAGGGACACAGGGCTTAAGGGGTTGCCCAGGTCCACCCAGGGTTCGCCCAGGCCTCGGAGCCCATTACTTGATCACTGATTGAAAAGATGTTTATTTATCTATGGCATCCCATGGCTTACCATAAACATAACCCAACTCATTATCAAAAAAGTTATCACCTGAACACACCAGAAAGATAGTTACCTGAGACTCCAGAGGATGACCCCAGACCTCCATACTGGAAGGGAGGAGGCATTTTCAGCATCTATCAAAGACCCTTTGTTGTCAACAGCCAGGGCCCAACGGCCTGAAGTTCTGAGCAAGACAGATCACATCACCTTGCCTGCTTCCAGTTCCCAAACTCAGGCCCCGCTGGTACCTTCCTCTGGCTGAGGCTCAGCTCTGCAGTGGCCCCTGGGGTCGATCGCAGCATTCTCTACTAAATTATTTGAACCCAATCATAATCATCACCTCCTTTCCATCTGCCTTAAGGTTTGTAAGCACGTCTGTCAGCATCGCCATCTACACCCTCTTAATGAGACAGACATCCTCACAGACATTCCCCCATCTGCTGAGCCTGTCTGGATCTCAGTTCTACTTTCAGGCCACGATGCTGTCACTGACCATCCCATCCCAGAACAACTTTTCTTGTCCTGCAGTTTGGGTCTCTCTTTATTTAGAATTGCCAAGGAGAAACACACCACAAAATCTCCTATTAACTGGCACAACAAGCAGACATTGCATCAGGCAGTGCACAGACCACAGAGGGGGCATGAACCCAGTGATTATGGCCGTGGACCACCAAGCCCATGGCCGAGGGCCTGCTTTTCACCCGGAGAGGCTATGCTCCAACCTGTGCAAGGCAAGAGAGTCTGCTCATAAAACTGTATCAATACACATATGGAATGAAAAAGTAAGTATGTATTCCTCATTACCTGAAGGCTGTATTTAAGGGAATATGGGCCCACTACACCTCTTTTTATCACCATTTATTTACAATGTAACAAATTATTCACTGGACTCTTTTAAAAATGTCATGAGGTCGATTTAATGCAATAGACCACCAACAACAGGGCAGAGGAAAATGTGGGTGACTGGATGCGAATCTGTTCCCCCACTCTCAGACAAACACACAACCCCTGCTGGACCAAGGGGTCTTAACGAAACTTCTGTGCATTCGAACAGCACATTTTGGGTGAAGAAAAGGGGAAAGCAAGGCAGACTAAACAGTCACTAGGAGCCACTGGCTAGTCCTTCATTTATTTGACATTTCCAGCTCTTCGACCAGTTCTGTCAGTGGAACTGCCTGTCAGGCTTCCGGGCTCACAGCCTAACCCACCGGCGAGGCTGAAGGCAGCCTCACGCCCAAGCATAAGAGCTTATCATCAGCTCTTCGCTTCACTCCAAGATGCTGTCAGAAGGCACACAGAGGTACAAGAGTGCAAGACATTGATTGAATTGGACAGTTTCCAACTGCTCCACTGGGGGCCCAAGGCATCTCCACCTTACAGACACACGGAATAAGGATGAGTAATTTTTCACTTCAATACACTCATATTAATGCAAAAAAATTAGGAAGATTTCTTCCCTATTACCATAAAGTCACATTTGTGACAAATGGTCTAAATACAGCCAGCTGGATCTTGCCAGTATTTGTTCATTTTCTATACAACTGACCTGAGAAAAAAATTTCTCATCTTCTGCAGGTTAGCCCTGAAAAGCCCAGCTGAGTCTGTATTCCCTCTCTAGGAAGGAGAGAGGAAGATGGCAGTGGCCCTCAATGTGGCTTGCCTTCCTGGCTGGTCACTTTTGACTATAACCCAACATTAGAGCCTCTGGGTGCTGGCTCAAGGCAGTGCTCACCAAATCGGCTTATAACAGTCACTCCTTGTCCTTATTGATGATTTCACTTGCAAGCACTGAACTAGAGTACAGCACACAACCAGCATAACAGATGCCCTCTTGGGCTTCCTCCTTGGGCCCCAATTTACATACTACTTCCCCTAGGAACCTTCTGATCCTCCTCCGCCATGCCTCACTCAGCATACCCTTATCACTCCGTACTGTGATTGACAGTAAGCTAAGTGAGGGCAGAACCCGCAACTGTTGTGTTCAATGCTGCATCCCCAGTGCCTAACACTGCCTGTGTAGGGTTTGATAGATGAAGCAACCAATGCTAAATTGCGTGGCACAGGCATGTAATGCTAGAGGAATTCATACATAAGTGAGTAAAGCAGAGTTAAGAGGGCAGACCGAGGTTTGAACCAGTTGGATGTATTTTAGCACCTGGGAGCATAACTGGAGTGGTCAGGAGCAGACCTGGAACTGAGCCCTGAAAGATGGCCAGGGTTTGAGTCCAGGACAGCAAAGCCCCAGAAGCCTATTTTTCTCCAAGTTGCACAAAGACCAACCAACCTCCATCTAGACACCCAACTCTTCACAACATCTGCTAGTACTGGACCTCGCCATACAGATGACAGACCACGGACAAGATGCTTTGCAAACACAAGATGCTGTGTGGCCCCCAGGCTTATCCTTATCTCACACATTTGTCAGGGGAAGACTTTGAGGACTCAGTGTCAGGAGTCAGTCAATATTCCATGACAAAGGCCCT